GCTTAGTCTTTCCCTCTTCGTAATTCATGAGCATTTGTGAAGAGGTACTCTCAAAACCTGTAAACATCCTGTTCCAATTCAAATCTTTAATATATTCGTTTGTTTATTTGTATTTGTCTGGACTCACTGCTCTCTATTTTAGTCAATGAGTTATAATCTGTTACTGTGATTACTAGCCAATGAGAAGCCCTGTGAGCTGGCCCAGGCCCTCCTGACATGTCTCCAGCATTCTGAGCTCTTCCTTACTTTCTGGCACAAGATGTTCTAGGCTCATATTGTACTTTCTCTGCCCCAGCTCTGAAATCAGACATTTCTCCAAAAAGGCTTCTTTTCATTGGAAAATTGTACTCAGAAATGAAAAACTGGGAGCTAGATATGCTTAAGCTGTGAAGATGCCACTGCTTTCAGGACCTTCCAGTAGACCTTCCAAGGGACACACACGAACCAAGCTCCATCTACCACTTCTTGCCCAGGTAACTGTAGGTAGGTCAAAGTATTCATCTGTATCGCATATACACATGTCAATGTGTGTATATGACAAGATATGACTATTTTTACCTGCCCCACCTAATGGCTTCAGAAGCAAATTGCTAAGTAAAATAAAGAATAAGAGACACAAAGAGAAACTCACTCTTGAAAAAAAAATCATATCAACCAATCAAAAATCTTGCCCCAATCCCATGTCCTCTTCTAGCTACTACATCATTTCTTTGAGCTTTTATAAACATGCACACTAAAAAACCCCCACCCCTCCACCACAGAAATTCCCAAGAGGTATATCAACTTTCTTCTTCCCCACCCTTTGCTGTTTCTTAAATTCCTTCTAATCAAAAACTTCTGTCCTCACCATACCAACTTATCTCCAAGTTACCAAACCCAATAATCAATGCTCAGCTTAATTTCCTCCACTTATCAACAGCACTTAACACATTTCCTTCTGGAAACATTTTCTCCCATGACTGCTGCTTCTCACTGTCCTTTGCTAGAAAATTCTTGCCTACCTAATCAGTAACTGTTCGGGTGCCTCAGAGCTCATCATTCTTCTACCTTCACTCACTTCGTAGTAAATCTCAACCTGACCATGGCTTTCCACATCACATTTTATGACTCCAAAGCTGCATCTCCAGTCCCATCTTTACCCATCACGATCCAATTAGCCTTTCGATGTGCCCTTCTCTCTACTATTCACGCCCCTTTCTGATACCCGAATGATATCTTGCTTTCTCACTTCATTCAAGTCTCTTAACAAACATCACTAATGAGTCCCAAAGACTGTCAACCACCATTATCTGAAACTACACCTCCCTCGCTCCAACCATATTCTACCTCTTGACTCTGCTTTATTTTATTTTCTTGCCTACATAATTAGTCTTGCAAGTGAATTTTGGGAAAAGATCTCTGAAGAATTTCTCTCTCTCCCCTCAAACCCAATCTTTCTTCAGTCTTCCCATACAGGTTCAAATTTTAAAAAAAGAGTTACTGCTTACTCTTCATACCACATTCCCACTCCATTATCTCCCCTCAAACCCAATCTTTCTTCAGTCTTCCCATACAGGTTCAAATTTTAAAAAAAGAGTTACTGCTTATTACTCTTCATACCACATTCCCATTCCATTATCAAAATGCTGTCATCTTGATGCTTAAAACATTTGCTAAATCTGACCATTCTTATATTCTCCACTAATTGTACACTAACTCACTCTCTACTAGGAAATTACAGTAACTAAACACCCACTTCTATTGGTGCCACCTATGGACCATACTCCATAACACACTCAATCAGCTCTTATGTTCCCTTTCTCTGTTCCAAACCCTTTATTTATTGGCATCTCATCATACTTAAAATTGGTTGAAGTTCTTTTTCTTTAGCCATTTATTTATTTATTTATTTATTTTAATTTGACCAGAGAGGGTTAGAGTGAAAGAGAAAGAGGCAAAGAGAGAGCAAGCCGCCAGGTCTGGGACTCAAACCACAGTCAGCCATATGGGGCTCTAGCACCCTTAACCATCATGCCACCTGCCAGCCCCAGTTGAAGCTCTTATGGTAGTCTACCAAGCATGCTTCATCTCATTAAATAGCTCACCCTAATGTTACCTCCTACTCTTTTCTCCTTGCCTCATCCCATCCCAATCACATGAGCCTCCCTTTAATTTCCTACATAAGCTAAGCCAATTCTTCCTCAGAAACTTTGATACATGAAAAGGACTAACAGAAAAAGCAATCAACCTGTGGAAGAGAAGAGTCTGGGAATACAGAATGGATTCAAATTAAGCTCTACCTACCACTTCTTGCCCAGATATTTTAAGTAAAAGTTGCCAATTTCTAAAAATATTAAAGATATGGAAACTGCTGTTTTCCTGAGGCTGTAATAAAGCCTAAGAACTGATTTCAAACATCTGCCACTTGGCAGATGCCAATTTGGCTCTCTCCCTCCATCACATACTTCTCTTCTCAAAGACAATGAATGGTTGAGATTATTAGCTCAGTGACCAATTCTACTTAATTTTCAAATATGTGGAACCCTTACATTAAAAGGTAGCAATCATTTGGTCACTTATATGTATGATGCTACATTATATTTTTAGTGTATAGGGCAAATACTACTAGCCTGAATGTTACCACTTCTTTCTGTATCATGTCCTATAAATTTCATAGTGCTGGAACCAGCAGAGGGAGTAATGGTTATACCACTGAACTCCCACATAGTCAATGCCGGTTGGAGTCCTAGACCCAGCAGCTTAAAACTCATGCTGGTAGTGTGTGCCTCCATGCCCGAACTCCTGAGAAAAGAATGAAGGAGAAGGGATTGCAATGTAGCCATCACCCTTGGACGGGGTGGAGGTGGGGTGGGTGATATCTTGCTTTATGTCTCTCCGGAGAGTGCATGCGCCCTATAGCAAAATTCTCTTAAAAAAAAATAATAATAATTTCATAGTGCTATATATAGTAAAAAATGTTGGCAAAAACATTTTTATTTGCTCTCAAACTTTTCACATCACTCTAGAGATTCATTTATACTTTTAAGATATTATGCTAATCATTTTGAAGTAGCTTAGATATATGTGAGAAAAATTTGGAATTTTCCTTTGATGCTACTGATTGGCCTAGGCTGACTTCTTCATCACTGAACATTCAAAACATGGTTTGTACTAGAAAGATTCTAAGAGAAAATCTTTGAAGGGATCTAAGATATCTTTTAATTCTAACATGGAATGGGTAAGAAAGTTAGCCTGCATTAAAGACCACTGAATGCAGTTATGAAAACAAGCGGCTTTTTTTTTCTTTTCTTTTCTTTTTTTTTGGGGGGGGAGGGGGGAGAGATTTGTTCTATAGGGCGCGTGCGCTCACCAGACAGAGACAGAAAGCGAGAAATCACCCCCCAGTGGGGATGGTCACGCCACAATCCCTTCTCCTCCATTCTCCTCTTGGGATCTTGGGCACGCACGCACACGCGCCCGGCATGAGTTTTAAGCCACCAGGTCTGGGACTCGAACCACAGTCGACTACATGGGAGTCCAGTGATGTAGCCATTACACTAACTGCTGGTCCCACAAGCAGCTTTTTGATCATTAGTTTTCAACTAGCTTCTGCAAATGATGCACTACATGGTGCTAAGGAATCATTTTGCTCTGAGTCAATTCGCAAGGTGAAATATACTTTCTTTCAAGAGATATAAAAAAGAATCACCATGCTTTTAGCAAATGTGATATATGTGTATATGCTAAATATGAAAGATGATTATTTCAGGAAGGCACTACTAAAGCACTAAAAATAAATGTGTATCATAATCACACTAACTCTTCCTGTCCTCATCTCAGAAGCCCAGACCGCTGCCCTGAAGAAACCTACTATGCCTCACGTACCCACTGTCTCCGCGTACGTAAGTCTACATGTTATTTTTAGCACATTTGTCAGGGGCAGCTGTTGAAGAGCAGACGGGAAAAACAAGAAGCGATGTAGAAAGAACAGGCGGGCATGATGGGATAGAAGAGTAGCGAAGAACAGACTGAACATAGTGTTCAGTCAAAACATTCAGTAGGGGGGAAACAAAAACCCAAGGACATTTAGGAGGAAAAGGTTGTAGCTAATGATAATGAAATGATGATCTCTACTCCTAGTTTCCAAGGTTCCTAGGAATTGCCAAGTTGGTGTGAGGCTTATTAATCTCAGAACAAATGCACAAAAGCTATACTAATGCATTCCACAGTAAGGAGGATCAATAATCAATCTCTATTCTATGTTAGGTTTTCCTTAAGCAACAAATAAAAAACAAAAAACCCAAAAAACCAAGTCCACACTATCTCCTCAAAATTAAGTACTTTATAAATGTTATTTATGCTGTATCACACTAAATCCTCTATATTTAATTTAATCACCACAACTGTATGGTGCAGGCATGTAACAGCCCCATTTAGTGAGGGAACGACTTTAAAACTTGGATTTCTGAAAACTTCATGGATAGTAAGTAGCAGGGAAGAGGACTCAAATCCAGGCTTTGTTTGACTGAAGTCCAAGTCCTTATATACCATCTGTCCCTGCTTTCTTTCTCGTTTTTTTCTTTAGTTTGCTATAGAGCACATGCACTTCCCAGAGAAACAGAGAGGGAAAATGAGAAATCACATTCCCACCCCCAAGGGAAATGGCCACGCTGCAATCCCTTTCTCTCCATTCTCCTTTCAGGATTCTGAGTAAGCATGCACACGTGCCTGGCATGTTTTCAAGTCACTGGGTCTGGCACTCAAACCTTGGTGTTGGCCATGTAGAATCCCACACCTTAATCTTTACTTCCATGCCACCTGCTGCCCCCTCCCCTTTCATTCTTCTATAAACTGGAAACTTCGCCTACCTTCCAGGAGCCCCTATTATATACATGGCTCACAGGGTTGCACTTCTAGAATGCTCCTAGAATGGCTGCTCTGAAAAAGCAGACTGAAGGCCTTGCCTCAGCTCTTACAGCACCAGGAAGCCACAAGCCAGGTATTATTTCCGGCAGCTGATGTTGGAGGAGGAGGAGGAAGAGGAAGAGGAGGCAGAGAAGGATGGAAGGGTGAGGACTGCTGAAGAGAAGGCCCAGGTGCACTTTTACCTGCATTCTGCTGGGATGGGGAAAGACCCGTGAGCGACGGTCAAAGGTCTGTCCCACGTGGTAAGGCGGGAACCGCCGCTGCCGGTACTGAGGGCGATACTGGGGGCGGCGCAGCTGATTCCGGGCCCCAGAGAACTGCCCGTCAGTGGCAGGGGGGTCAAATCCTTCACTGCTGCCGCTCCCTTCCTCCTCCTCCTCCCCAGCGTACTAGCGAAGCAAAGAAACAGAGATTCAGAAGAAGTTTCAGCAAGGAAAGAACCAAAGAATACCATTTAGGATGAATGTCACCAAAAGGAAAAAAAAAAAGTCTCCCCAAAGCAATGATCCCGTCTATTACACAGGCAATATGCATTTAACCCAGATTATCATGTGATTACCTGGGCTAAACTACATTAAAATTAAAGTAGATCTGTGCAGACAAAATACCAAGCAGCAAGAAGCAAGAGCAATCAATCCCCGTAATAAACGTAATTGTCATCTAATTAGAAGTAGAGAATATCAGTTGACCAACCACCCAAAGGAGATCTACAAGGCTTATAATAATCAGCACCACCAACTGTGTGTCTCCCAACATTTACCATATACTTGGGCAAAACCAAGAAAAAAAATATTATTTTATGTTAGCAACGTAACTGACCTAAAAGGCATACTTTCTACGCAGTTCTCAAAGGTGGCCAGGATCTCTGAGACCTTCGAGGGGAGGAGTGCAGTCAAGTGTTCTCCTAATGTTACTGAGATGCTATCTGCCTCTCCCAGTCATTCTCCTGTGGGTGGATGGTGAGGTCTTCCAAGGGTTGCAATGGCATGTGGCCTCCCAGCAGACTGGAGGAACAGATCTCAGAATGCAGCTATCTTCTATTAAACCATGCAACAATACAATTAACCCTCGGTGTCAGTGCTGTAATGCAGCTTCAACCAACCGGGGGTCAAAAACGTTGTACTGCTACTGACCTGTACTATGTATTGGGTGGTTGGAAAAGTCATGACGTACTTTTGTTTAGAAGGCCCAGGTGCACTTTTACCTGCATTCTGCTGGGATGGGGAAAGACCCGTGAGCGACGGTCAAAGGTCTGTCCCACGTGGTAAGGCGGGAACCGCCGCTGCCGGTACTGAGGGCGATACTGGGGGCGGCGCAGCTGATTCCGGGCCCCAGAGAACTGCCCGTCAGTGGCAGGGGGGGCAAATCCTTCACTGCTGCCTCTCCCTTCCTCCTCCTCCTCCCCAGCGTACTAGCGAAGCAAAGAAACAGAGATTCAGAAGAAGTTTCAGCAAGGAAAGAACCAAAGAATACCATTTAGGATGAATGTCACCAAAAGGAAAAAAAAAAAGTCTCCCCAAAGCAATGATCCCGTCTATTACACAGGCAATATGCATTTAACCCAGATTATCATGTGATTACCTGGGCTAAACTACATTAAAATTAAAGTAGATCTGTGCAGACAAAATACCAAGCAGCAAGAAGCAAGAGCAATCAATCCCCGTAATAAACGTAATTGTCATCTAATTAGAAGTAGAGAATATCAGTTGACCAACCACCCAAAGGAGATCTACAAGGCTTATAATAATCAGCACCACCAACTGTGTGTCTCCCAACATTTACCATATACTTGGGCAAAACCAAGAAAAAAAATATTATTTTATGTTAGCAACGTAACTGACCTAAAAGGCATACTTTCTACGCAGTTCTCAAAGGTGGCCAGGATCTCTGAGACCTTCGAGGGGAGGAGTGCAGTCAAGTGTTCTCCTAATGTTACTGAGATGCTATCTGCCTCTCCCAGTCATTCTCCTGTGGGTGGATGGTGAGGTCTTCCAAGGGTTGCAATGGCATGTGGCCTCCCAGCAGACTGGAGGAACAGATCTCAGAATGCAGCTATCTTCTATTAAACCATGCAACAATACAATTAACCCTCGGTGTCAGTGCTGTAATGCAGCTTCAACCAACCGGGGGTCAAAAACGTTGTACTGCTACTGACCTGTACTATGTATTGGGTGGTTGGAAAAGTCATGACGTACTTTTGTTTTTCTATGCAAAAATGTGCCATGACTTTTCTGCCAACCCTATAGTTGGGCTAGGATGGCTGCATCTGTACTTCACATGTACAGACTTTAAAAACTGTAGTTATTTGCTAAACAATACAATATAACAACTGTTTACAAATCACTTGCATTGCACTGGGTATTACAAATAATTGAGAAATGACTTACAGTATATGGGAGGATGTACACAGGTAATATGCAAACACTATGCCGTTTATTATGAAAGAGCCAAGCACCCCTGGCTTTGGGCATTTGTGGTCATGGAACCAATCCCAGGTGAACACAAGGGACAAATGTACCACTCTTCCTACTCAACTTAATAGTTTTCTTTTCATAAGAAAATGTTATTTATACTAACGTGTAATGAGTTACTTTACATTTGAAAGTTATTTTAATCACTAATACAACAAGTATCAATAGACATAAACATATATAAACAAGAGCTCTAGTATCTTTAATATGTTAAGCATATAAATAGGTGCAAAAACCAAAAAGTATGAGAAGCACTGACAACAGAATGACTTTCCTTTGTGTTTACAAATAAACTTTTAATCCTACTTTAACAGACAGGAATAAGATTAAACATAAGCAATTTTTAAATACAGACTTGTTAACAAAGGGAATTGTCAACTCACTTTTATGTTTTTCTTATATTTAAACTACTGTATTATATACTACCATTTTATATTTTGGGAAATTAAACAGCCAAATGTCTCTGAAAAAATCTACTTTCAAATACTACTTTAAGAGGGATGCGCACATGCCAGTGTCTATAGGACATAAGTGTAGTTTTCAAAAAGGAATAAATTGCAAATGAAATGACTCCTTTCTTTGCAAGGGGGTTATATTTTAGACTCCTCCAGGATAAGCCCACACGCACTAAATTCCCAAAAAGGATAAGCCCCAACTAGTCTCAGTTCAGAAAAACAGAACTATTCTCTCTTTAAAAAACCTACGCTGGGACTAGCAGTTAGAGTAATGGCTATGTCGCTGGACTCCCACGTAGTCGACCATGGTTCAAGTCCTGGACTCAGCAGCTTACACTCACGCCAGGCGCGTGTGCGTGCGTGCCCAAGATCCCTAGAGGAGAATGGAGGAGAAGGGATTGTGACATGGCCATCCCCCCTGGGGACTGATTTCTCACTTTCTGTCTCTCTGTCTTTCTGGCGAGCGCAAGCATCCTATAGCAAAAACCTCTCAAAAAAAGAAAAAAAAACCTATGCTAAGGCAGGACTCACAGTTGGGCTCTGTGGCTCAGTGGTAATGTGCTGCTCAAGAGAAAATTGATCCCACATGGCCCTAACAGGCTTGAAACACACACTAGGCACATGTGTGTATGTCTCCCAAATTCTGACAGGGAGCAATGGAGGGAAAAGCATTTTGGATCCCATTGGAGGAGTTCTCTCTTTTTCTGGCAAGCACACATATCCTCTGGCAATACAAACAAAAATAGAATAGGTAAAGCAAAGATAAAAATAAACAGATTAGAGGTTCTAAAGAATCTCATGAAATAAATTCAAGCAGGGTATGATGCGACAGAAAAAGAGAGAAAAATCATGTAGGTGAGCAGAAATAAGTTTAATCAAACAGATTAAGTCCTCGATCTGCAGGCATTTTATTCTGCTTAGATTTTTCATGACACTTTTTGGATCGACATAGGAGCCACAAGAATATGCTCACAAAGTACCTCGAGTTCTATCCCTGCTTCTAACTCCAGAAACATCGAGAACTGACTCAAATCTAGTACAGTGCTCATACCACAAAGGAACTGCATTCATTCTGGGTGCCTTGAGAAAATTCCTTTAAATGGAGCCTCCTAAGAAAGCTCTAGCCAGATCTGTTTTCTTTCATTTGGATTTCGACCCATCTGAAGAACTAAAGATCCAAAGAATTTCTTACTGCTTCTTTGAAATAATGGGAAACTGTGTTTGTTAGGCTAAATAAAATAGCTACTCAATTGATATAAATCACTTGATACTTCTGTGGCCAATACTTTTACTGCATATTCGCCAGCTAGCTCCCATTCTTTCTTACCAACCAAAAGCTGATTTCCTTAGAGGTCAAAAGTGTCAGTGCCAAGGAATAAACAACAGGTTTAAGTAGGTGAAGGAAACCATTCCCCTCTGCCAGTGAATGCCAGATACTAGGTTCTGGCCAGATACTAAGAGCCAAATGAAGAGAAAGCCTCTGTTAACCTTGGCACTACCTACTTCAAGTGAGTCTTCTTTATAGGACAGTTACGTCCGTTACTTTGCAGCCAGATATGGCCTGATTGATAAAAATTCTGAATTCTGAACGCCAAGTATCCAGTGAGGCCAGTGGCTATGGATAAATTCTGTGCACTCAAAGTTCTCCCTCAAAAATAAGGTTAGAAAAAAAAATGACTTATTCTGTCTCCAAGAGAAAATATGGCATTTCTCTGCTCTAAGTACATACACCTAATTTTAGACGTGAAGATTTTTAGTCGCTGGTGAGTACCAGAGAGGACGTACATTGCGGGGAGGTCCACGACGTCTGCCATAGTAGCCACGTCTGTAGCGGCGCCGATCTGCAGCGTATCGACTGCCTTCTACAGGAACTCCATCTGGGCCAGTCACATTGGCTGCTTCTGCACCCTGAGAGAGAAAATAAGCAAAAGGCCTTGGAATTAAAAAGAAGCATAATTAACCCCAAAACAGCCTGGAGTAGGCAGAGATTGGCAGATGTACTAAGAATTCCTATAGTAATCTTGAAAAGAGATGCAACTTTTAGCAAGGTGAGAAGGTGCCTAGTGCCCCGATTTAAACGGATATGGTCTGTTTACTCACACAGCCTATGCTCTGCCTTCTTATCCCGGCTAGGCCAAGTTCAACAACAGTAGTACCTTTTTTGTTTCTTCTTTTTTCCTTTTCTCCCTCCCACCCCCATTTCCCTGTGCAACTCCCTTCAGTGCCAGCAGCCCACAGGCAGAGACTGGGCAATGGTTTGGGGCCAGTTTGCTCTAGCATGGGACACTATGAGAGGCCCAGGGGGACGGACCTGCCATAAATCCAAACCCATGCATGCAGTAATACCATTTTAAAGAACATAAACTAGTAAACACAACACGACTGTAAAAAAGAGAGGTAATGTTAGACCAGGAAGAATATGCCTCAACAGAAAAGCACTGAGATAGTGTTATCATCCTAGACCTTGTTAATTCCTGTTACCCTATGACATTACAAGGGAATCCCTACTCATGGGCTTTCAGTGAGAATGAAACCTCTCCCTCTGGGTAGCAACAGAAGAAAGGGTCCTTGTTAGTAACAGGGCCGCCACTTTTATCCTGAAACAGACTTAGGAGTTCTTATTCACATACGGGCAAAATAATGCTTCAAATCTATAAAAACAAAAAAAATTAGATAAAGGAAATCCAAAAGCGTGTACCATGTCAATTTGTAAAACCTCAAGTTCTGAAAAACATGCAGAAGTAAAATTAATCTGGCAAGAGTGGGAAATGGGATATCAGAGATCATTACAAAGCAACATTTGCTAGAGGATGATTTGAAACACCAAGAGATTCGCAATACACCCTGGGAATTACATTGGTAAAGACAACCACTTGCCTTTCTATATCAAATGAAATGTTTTCCTGTAAAAATGGAACAGTTCAAGAGCCACCGAATATGAACAATGGAATGGTGTGTATGCATATGGAAAAGAGTGTACACACGGGACTGAGCTAGTCAATTACTTAGTTTATAATTTTGCTGCCATGACCATTGTACCATATGCAGCTTTAAAATGTTGTCAGTCTTAGCCTCAGTTGTTTTACTGATATCCACAGTAAAACTGCTGACTAAACACAAAGCATAAATAACATTTCTGATACCGGAATTAAATACACAACAGTTTAAAAAAGTTCTGTAGATATTCTTCAATCTGTAGATATCCATCAGCTTTTTGCACTGAGTTCATCTCAACAAAGCTGTTATACAACCTATCCAGATGGCTTCAGCTTTCCAAAATCAAAGCTGAAGACAAAACATGATGATATTCAACTTGAGTCTTCTTTTACTGAGATTAAAATATTCCTTACTGTGTATAACTTTTTTAATATAATATTAGAGGGTATGTAGGGTATGTGTACTCACCAGAGGGTGAGGGGGAGCAAACTTCCCAATGTGGCATGACCACGCCACAATCCTTTTTCTGCCATTTCTCTTATGTGTCAAGATTTGGGGCAAACACACATACATGTGTCCAGCATGTTTTTCAAACTGCTAGGGCCAGTATTCAAACCACGGTTGTCCATATGAGCCATGGCTTAACTGCTATGCTTCAGGGCTGGGACTACTGTATATTACTTACTGTATATTATTTGTAAACGAAGGTCCTCACGAATCAGTTGAGAAAGCTTTATTCTCATAATGTTCATTTATAAGAGTCTAACAGATCATTGATTCTTCAACAAAACTGTGAGTCAGTACACTTTAATACCCAACCACGCTTCCTCTCACCTTCTCTCCTTCAACCACATCAAACTCCACAGTTTCTCCATCTCCTACACTGCGCAGGTATTTCCGTGGGTTATTCTTCTTGATGGCAGTCTGTCAAGAAAACAGAAAATTCTTTTGAAACATATCTCAATATGTGCCAGATTTCATTGCATTCAAATTTACTAAAGTCAACTTGAAAACAAAAGAAAAAACCGTTGACATATTCTTTTTTATCCCCCTAGGTCTTTCTGCTGCAGGCACTTGCTTGAGACAGAGATAAAAAAGAGAGAAATCACCGCCCGGGGGGATGGCCACACCATAATCCCTTCTCCTCCAATCTCCACTTGGGTTTTTGGGCACACATACCTATTGTGATTCTCAAGCTGCCAGGCCCAGGGTTCAAACTGTGGTCAGCCATGTGTGAGTCCAGCGCCTTAACCACCATGCCACCTGCTGGCCCTGACTTATAACCGATTTAAAAACACACTACAAAACTTTACTGTTGTAGTGGTTGGGGGATTGGTTCCCACACAGCCAACTTCATGTTTTGAGTCTAGACCCAGCGGCTTGAAAAACACAGTGGGCAGGTGTGCGTATGTGACCAAAATCCTGAGAGAAGAGATTGCAGTATGGCCATCCCCCCACCGGGGGTGATTTCTCACCTCTTCTCTTTCTGGTGAGTACACCTAGACTATAGGGGGGAAAAAAAGCTTAAAAAACTATTCCACATTACTTTCTTGACTTGTATGCACTATTTAAAAATTCATCTTGATAGGACTGAACAGCAGCGTGTAGCTACTGCACCTTCTCTCATAGCCTTATCGCCTCATCACATCAAAACACTGGCTATAGGGGGACCTGCAGTTAGCATAATGGCTCTGTTGCTGGACTCCCACATGGCCGACAGCGGTTCGAGTCCCAGACCCAGTGGCTTAAACTCACACCAGGCGCATGTGCGTGTGTGCCCAAGATCTCAAGAGGAAAATGGAGGAGAAGGGACTGCGACGTGGCCATCCCCTCTGGAGGGTGATTTCTCGCTTTCGGTCTCTATTTCTCTCTCTGTCTGGCGAGCGCATGCGCCCTATAGCAAAAACCTACCCCCCCACACCAAAAAAAAAAGAAAATGGCTGAGCCTGAGGTTCAGACTGCATCAGCAGAGGGGAGTGTCTTTGTGAGATCTCACTGATATACACACATGCATTTTAGGTACAGGGTTTTGTAGCGAGTGGAACTGCCAACTTCAAAAGGAATTATTAAAATGTGTATGTGTGGCGGGTATAATGATAAAAGAAAACGGGAAAAAAAAGTCAAGTAGATAAATATTTGATAGAGTAAACAACATGACCTCAGGAATCAAAATATATCAGTGATAATCTGATTTCTTCCTCAGTCTCCCATTTTACAGAGAAGGAAAAACGGGGCTGGCAGGTCAGGGATTTATTTATCTGAAATCACGAGGAGAGGGTGGGAGGAGAGAGTCCCTGTCAGCAATGCCCGCGCTGCATCTCCACGCTACTTAGTCAACTTTTCCCCACCACACCACGTAGGTAGCAACCAGCCCGTCAATACATTAAGAGGCTAATGGAGATGCTATTCTACACTAAACACCTGCACCTAAACGTCTGCTTAGACCTCTCTGTTTTTTAGTCAATGGAGGGGAGACTACCTCTTGCAGTGAACTGCCACTTTTTCAGCTGGTATCTTTAAACAGTTAAAGGGGCTGTGAGTTTCTATGGAACTAGGTCAACCTTACTTTATAAAGCGATTAGGCATGTGTAATCCAGCCCTTCCCCTACTCTGAGTAGGAGGGAAGGAAGGGAAAAAATAAATAAATAAAGAGTGAGCCAATAGGGTAGAAACTTCACCCACAGAGGGAAAAAAGGCAGCTCAGGACAGGATCACTGCGCACACAGCAGGAACGTTCCGCCATTCCAGAAACAGCCCCTCCCTGCCGGCTCGTTCCCTTTTTCCTGTTAAACTGGGCAGGCCTCAACACATCGGGGTGACTCATCACACAGCCTCATGGGGGCTGGAATCAGGTCACACACTCACAGCCTAATAAAGCTGGCCACCGACACAGACACTTGTGCACAGACACTTGTGCGGTCCTTTACTCTACAGCCACCCTGCAGAGTTCCTGCCCCAGAAGGCCTATTAAACACCAGGTAGTAAAGTGACACTTCCTTCCCGTCTGTTACAACTTGAAAAGTCACTGTTATTTATCTGAATAACAAAAGAAATCGACTCAAGTGATCTAGGTACAAGTGAAATATAGAGAAATATACAACTGAAACCGTAACTAGGAGAGTTTTGTTTTGTTTTTTAAGATATCATTACTGCAATTCCCACCATCTACACTCCACCTACACACAAACCTAAATGTAAGGAAACACATAAAACCATTTGCCCGACATAGCCCTGCAGGTCAGGTGGACTGGCATTAGTACCTGCTGTGTAACATGCTAAGAACCACACACACATTTCAGGCAATTCGTTGAAAATGAAATACACAAAAAGAATAAGGATACGAATTTCTTTTCTTAACCTATTTTGTAAAGTAAGTCCAGAATACATAGTAATAGAATAAATAATGTCCTAGGCTGTTAATGTAAAGACAGAGATGCCATTTCAGAGAAGCCCACGTGTTTCGTATGCTACCCATTATTTGTGCTTTTTTCAAATCTAAGGGAATGTGGGTCTTTTGATCTAGACATGTCCCTCGTTTCAACAGGTGTGAGGATGATCATTGCAAATGGAAGTATTAGATACATAAACCCTAACCAACTGCTTCTCTGCACTTCTTCCTCTCAGTGAGAGCTGTTTCGGTAGAGGAACTTTAACAGATACCACACGGCCAAAAGTAATCTGGATCCAGCCAAACACTAAGCAGGAACCACAACATCAAAAAAGGATGCAAATACGGAAACAGAAAAGTAGTCTAACAGACTATTCATTCAACTTCTAAAGAAAAACCCTGGAAAGCAGTTAACGTGATGGGGCAGAAGAGCTTACCTGCCAATCATAAAATGTGGAATTGAGCTCTCACTCTAAAATATAACACAGTTTACAGTACAAGAATAATTTATAGGACTTCCTTTTAGAAAAGAGATAAGAGCAGATTTTACACACCTCCCCTCACACAGCAAATGTAGCATTTATAAATCTTCTTACCTGATGCACAAATACATCTTCTTTGGTGTCATTTCTGTTGGAAGGACAAAGAGCTCAGTTAAAGGTACAAGGTTAGATAGAAAAGGTGACACGTGTCACCTTTAGATCATAAGAATTTAGAAAATAAGACCTCAAAACATAACATAACATTTATCTTCCAAACTCAGTTCAGAAACCTAGAATCAATCCGTGTGAAGAGATTTAACTACAAGATTCCCACCTTACAGTGCCTGGGTCCACGTGCACAGATTCAACACACCGAAACATCCCTTTCCTCTTTCTGAATCACATGGTATGTAATCAGAGCCTAGATTTTCCTCCCAGCAAAAGCAAAGCAAGACAGTTAAAAGGACAGGGCACAGCTGTGAACTAGGCTCTCCTTACAGTGAAACTTAAAACAGCCCCCTCCACCTCACCCCATGCCAAAACAGACAAGAAAGAAATTTGAAGGAATTTTTTTTTTTTTTAAGAAGGTGGTAGGGGCAGATAAAAACATCATAATATTCCCAACAGCTTATAATTGTGTTCTCATTCCAAACAGTGAGAAGTCACCATAGTTTTCTAAAGAAAACATTAGTTTCTACCCAGGAATTCACTAGACCCAGGTTCCAGCTCAATTACTCACTCGTTGCATGACCTCAGGGGAGTTGATTAATCAGTCTAAGACTCCATTTCTCCATCTGAGAAGTTACTGATTGATATGGGCTCATTGATCCTAAGGCCCCCGCCTTTTCTGATTTTACCTTCCCCTCCCTTTTTTTCTTTTAATGACTGGATTTTATAACATAAAGTTATTTTTAGTATCCTAGAAATGTGTTTTAATTAATATTTAATGACTGGTAGCTCAGAAATGAGAATATTTGCAGTGCTTAGAAACCTTACAATTTATATAAGCTATTAATAAAGTATGATGAGGGATTCATAACTACTGATATCACAACATAAGTATAAATTTAAAACATGCAAATATATAAGCACATACCGATTTATAAATCCATATCCATTTCTGACGTTGAACCATTTGACAGTGCCAAGGACTTTGGTGGCTAAAATAGGATTAAGCAAATAAATTAGTATCTAATCTACAAAGAGATAAGGTAGTATCACTAAGGTCTTGTTATCCAAAGCCTAAAACACCTGAGGAAATCACTGAACACTTTATTCCAAAATACACTAAGAAAATGGGACAAGATATCATAAGGAAATACTTTTCAGAAAAGTAAATCAAAAAGTTTTCCTTATTAAATTTTTCCGTCAAGCCATAAAGGAGTAGCCATAAGTCTGCATCACTCTGCGATAACTAAGATTGAGAAACATGCTACAAGGAAAAAGTTGTTCTTCAAGATTAGTTTATTAATTTATTTCTTCCGTGAGAGAAAGACAAAGACAAGGCAACCCAACTGGGTCTTGACCCTGCTTTCCACACTTTATCCACCCCCATCACGTGCACGTGTATGCCTGCCATACTTGTGTCTCACTGTTTTCTGGAAGGTCTCTAGAGAACACAGAACCTTCCCATGTGGGTCAGACTTGCAAAACGTCATTGTTTTTCTGCTGCACTACCATCTGGCCACTAATGTTCCAAGTTTTAAGTCAGAAAAAGTTTGTTACTGCCAAAGGTGTCACAATGAAAGGAGGATAGGTAGATGAAGAACAGGAACATACCACTTTCCCACTCTGAAATATTAAGGTACACTTTAATAAGCAACACAGTAGCTCCTTGTTTAACAGTCAACCCACAAAGACAAAGTAACTAGACTCACTGCCAAATGGGGGCCTATCAGAAGAGTCAGGGGTAATAATTGCACTGATGCTGTCTCAAAACCTAGCTCTATACCTGAGACATGATGTAACAGGTCTTTTCAAACCACAGTGATGAATGTGGGCTTCTGGTTCATTGTTTACGCTCTACAATTGGCGGGAATCAAACAGCATTTTCTAAAATATCTCATTCTTTAACTTGATTATTGTTTCTACCTTCTATGGTGGACAGGATCATTCCTCTACGACACTAGATTTTAGCACAAGTTTTCAAGGAATCTAAACAAACTGTAACTTCATACAACTTGTACTGTGTAAATTCCTATCTCTATTATTTCAAATATGACCCTTGGAATCAATTGTGAATGTTAACTCCAGTACATCTAGGAAATACCTATGATAAATTCAGGAAACACATGAAACAATTATCAAGACTCAATGAAACAGGAAACTTGACAATAGATAAAACTGTTTTAAAGAAAAGCTTAGCAGAGAAGGAAAGTAACAATTAACATTAATCTATGCCGCCTTTCCGTGAACTACAAAGTTTATCATTTCCAAGGATAAACACAACTGGCTTTGCTTTTTAAATTTAAAAGAAAATAGTAGTAACTCTGTTGTGGCAGAGTTCATTCTGAGTTCTGTTAAATGGATCAGCTTGGGAAAGCATTTTAGCTCCCTGTGTAAGAAAGACAAGCAACAAAACTATGTCTCCAAACCAAGTCAATCAGCTCACACTGACGAAGCACTATCCAGCTCCAATCCCATGAAGATTTCTCCAGTGCAAAGATCAAGCCCCCAGAATTTTTAGTTTGAGGTCATTCTGATTGGAGCAACGGGGCAAAGGAGGAAAGGCACCTGTTTTTTTCATGCAAATGTACACAAAACAGAGGCCTGATAAATTATGTTTTTAACTAGTTTTTTTTCCCCCCAGAGAGTGTCTTTTTTTTTTTTTTTTTTTTTTGCTATAGGGCCCTTGTGCTCCCTGGAGAGAGAGACAGAGAGAAAGAAAGTGAGAAATCACCCCCCGAGGAGGGATGGTCATGACCCCATCCCTACTCCTTCATTCTCATCTTGGGATTTGGGGCATGCATGCACACACTCCTGGTGTAAGTTTGAAGCCGCCAGGTCCAGGACTCGAACCATGGTCGGTCACGTGAGAGTCCAGCAAAACAACCATTACACCATCTGCTGGTCCCTGTTTTTAACTTAATTTTTCAAATGATAGGCTCTTTATGTCTCTTCTCATTTGCCACAAAATGATGACCTAGGAAAATATACAAAGAAGGGAAACTTTTTATTGTCTAGCACTGTCGATTAGAACGCTAACACTGTTAATAGGGGTAAAGATGAGAAATGATTCTCCAGTCTAACTGCAATCGAGGCTGGTTATTTTTACTCTCCAATTATTTAAAAAAAACTAATTCCACAGATATTTCCAAAGACTTCATACGGTCAAACAAATTCATTCATACTTCTTACTTTATACCATAAACTCACTTCACATACACACACCGTGAAAGGGAGAGGTGATGAGGCAAAGGAGAACCGTAAGTCTTCCATAATGTCCACCAGAAGCAAAGTGTGGGGCCAGTCATGGCCTAGTGGTTAAGAGAACTGGATCCCACACAGCCAACCACAAGGTTCAAGCCCAAGACCTGGTGGAATGAGAAACATACCAGGTATGTGTGTGTGCCCAAAATTCTGAGGAGGGATTGCAGTATACCCCACTGGGGGACGCCCTTTCCCATTCCGTCTCCTCCCAGTGAGCACATGCCCCCTTGGACAAACATCTAAGTTTAATAATAATAATAATAAGAAGAAGAAGATAATAATTTCACTCATGGAAAATATTTTCCCTGAGCTGTGTGCAATAAATCCAAGTTAGGGCCCGGCCCACTTGCAAAAACGAGAATGAAAGAATCCAAGAACAGATATCCATTTCAGTCAGTGCTGTGCCTAGCACATTTCAGGCATCCATGTGTTTACTTGGCAAAGGGAAAGGAGATGGCCAGACATACTCCACAGTGTCCTAACTGTCATGGAGAAGGCTGTCCATTTTGGGAGAGTTGGTGAGACAGAGGCAAGGTAAACAGAGGCTTTGGAGTCATCAGTAGGTTCTGGGAGAGGCACAATAGCAGCCGGTGATTAGGATACAAACATTAATGCATCGGTTCCCTTCCTCTTTAAAGATAATGTCTGCTTTCCTATCCAAAAAGGGTACATGGATCAAGTGAAAAGAAAACTACAAGAGGTTCTTTATGCCAAAATAGGTATTATTAAGATGGCCTTGGATAACATGAGGTCTCAGACGATTGGCAAGGAACGTTTGTTGAAACTACATCATGATACCATACTGACTAGATTTAAGCAACTTTTATAGTCTGGCAGAAAGGGGGTTACTGTGTTGTTTCACCTACACAGGTTACATTCAGCATGCTGTTTGGCAGAAACTGAGTTAAAGCCCAAACAAGAAAACAGCGCTTCTCTGAACATCGAATGGTGTCAACGTTTCTTCAATTATTCCCTTAACTTTCTTTCCTAAAAGGGAGGCAAGGCTCAGAAAGATCAGACAACATGCCCCACCCCAAAACAGTGAAAACGGCATGCGTTAGCCTTCCGGTTGGGAGTGGATGGATGACATACATGTGAACAAGCCCTCTAGGGAGCTTCCACCGCCCACCTGCTTTGCAGCCTGTGGAAGGCCTCATGAAGGGCGTCACTTGAAGGGGATGAGGCCTGTGGAATATGCGACAAAACCAACAACCAACACAGAAACCCTTTCTAATCCTCCGCTCCCAAAATCTGAACCTCTCATCTTCCCGTTCCCCTTCCTAAGTTTCAAGTCCCAAGGTAACGATGTTTTGAACTAACGTCATACCCCCACTTCCGACGAAGTTTTTTCAGCTGCTACACCACGTGCGTTCCCAGAGTCCAGGAAGAGGCGAGCGTGCAGCGATTGGTAGCCACGGGGTGGCTCTTTGCAGCAATGGGCATAGCGAGAGGGAGGAGAACGTGGGACCAGGACCCAAGTTTCCCGGCGAGGATTGCAACACGCCTTAGCCGGCATGTGGCCGACAGAAGCATGGCGTCTTTCCCATGCCCATGTGGGAAGGGCGTCAGGGACAGACACCTGAGCCTTCCTGGCAAGAAGCCTTCCCACTTCCCCCTCCCCGTCTCTTTCCACAGCCACACTCTTCCCAAAGAGAATCCTCTCCTTACCTAGCCCCTTAAGCAATGGATCCCAAGTCCAGGGCCCACGTGTCTGCCCCTCTCCTCCATCCACAACCATCCCTGCTCTGGAGTCCTCTCTGCCACCTCGCTGCCTCTCCTCTGCTCTACGGACCAGGCATTCTCAACACAGCAATGCGCGACAGCGCCTGCCTGGGCGACAGAATTTACGACCCCGACTCGCGGGCCCAGGCTACGAGGCTGGCGCGCCGGGCGGGAGGCAAGAGCGCAGGGCTCGGCGCGCTCACCTGGGTGCTCCTTGGAGCGGCAGACATCGGCGACCGGCCGTGGGGACACGAGTGGCGGGGACCCCGACTGCCAGCTCTCCCGGCCCACCGGAAAGTGCAGCCAGAGCTG